AGCTTTGAGAATGTATGTGTAGATATAAAAGCCCAATAAAATACTGATATTGCATAAGGATAGTTAGTGCAGTCTTGTTTTAGAAGTAGCAAAATGCTTAACCATTTTTCCTGATGATTCCTAATCAAGGACGTACTACCTTTCAATAAATCAGTAAAGAAAATGTTGAATTAAATAAACATTGAAGACTTCTGGGTAAGATGGTAGAGTAGGAGGACCCTAAATTCACCTCGTCCCACAGATACAACTAGGTAACACCCACATTAGTGTAAATAATCCAGAAAATAACCCAAGGACTGGCAGAACAGACTCTCCATAACTAAATGGAGAGAAGAGACCACACTGAAGAGGGTAGGAAGGGCGGAGACATGGTCAAGAGCTAAATTAACCTGAGGGACTATCCGTGGGAGGGAGGAAGCTACAGCAGTTTGAAAAGCACCTGGGTTTATGGGAGGAAGATTTGTTTATTAATCTTAGAGCATGTGCTAGAGGGGCAGGGGTCCTTGGGAGACTTCAAGAACAAAAGGGATGGCAGGTGCAATTGCCCTTCCGCACCCCCAGCCTAGACATTTGTATACCTGTGAGAACCAGCGTGGGGACAACACTCACCATGTAATTTGCTAACAGCATGTCCCACCTGTGTGTTCTCCTGACGACCTGCCCTTTCAATACTTCCTTGGCCAGAGCCCATCCAAAGTAGTGCCACAAGGCTGGCAGTATGTAAGCAGCCCCAACAGGAGCCAGCACCAACCCAAAGTGACTCCTACCATGGGGAAAGGGGAAGATTACACACACCAGTCCAACTGTGGCACCAGCAGTGGGTTGGGGACAGACATCTTGTCTGACTGCTGGCCCCAACAACCAATGAAAGCTTCTCAGGGGACAACACAGGGGAACTACCCTAAGTTTGGTGCTACTGCATCTCTGGAAAATACCTGGTCTGACTCAACTCAAGCCCTAGGCAGCCCCAGACTAGCCCATTAACAAAAGAGGGACCAAACCCTGCCCAAAACAGGCAAAGAGATTGACTGCAGACAACTTGACTGAAAGCAAAAGAAGCTCAGCCGTAACACTAGGGCACACACAACATAAATAGGAGACACTCTTGAAGCACCAAGTTCTGGTGAGCAGGGAACATTGCACTAAAGGGCACTACAGGAACTCTTGTTCATAAGGCCACTACTTTCAAGAGCAGGAGATGTAGCTGACTTTCCTAAAACAGAAGCAGATACAGAGAGTTAGACAAAATGAGGATACAGAGGAATATGTCCCAAATGAAAGACCAGGACAAAAGAGTTAAATGCAGATAAATAATATCCCTAATAGAGAATTTAAAATAATGACCATAAAGATACTTACTGGACTTGAGAAAAGAATGGAGAACCTCAGTAAGGCCGTTAACAAAGAGAAAGAAAACGTAAAAAAGAACGAATCAGAGATGAAGAACTCAATAACTAAAATTTTAAAATTAAATAGAATAAATAGACTAGAAGAAACAGAAGAATGAATCAGTGACTTTAAGGAAAGAGTAATGTAAAGCAAGCTGAACAGGAGAGAAAAAATAATAATAAAAAATGAAAATAGACTTAGGGAATTCAGTGACTCCATTAAGTATAATAATATTTGCATTAGAGGGATCCCAGTAGAAGAAAGAGAAAGGGATGCAGAAAATTTATTTGAAGAAAAAAATAGCTGAAAACTTCTCAAATTTGGAGAAAGAAACAGAAATCTAGATTTAGGAGGCACGGAGAGCCCTCAACAAAATCAACCAAGGAGGTCTACGGCAAGATACATAGTAATTAAAATGGCAATTAGTAGTGACAGAGAATTTTAAAATCATCAAGAGAAAAGAAAATTGTTACATAAAGGGCAAACCCCATAAGGCTATCAGATGATTTTTCAGCAGAAACTTTTCAAGCCAGAAGGAAGCGTCATTATAAAGTGCTGAAAGAAAAAACCTTCAGCCAAGAATACTCTATCCGGTAAGGCTATCATTCAGAATAGAAGGAGAGATAAAGAGTTTCCTAGACAAACAAAAGCTAAAAGAATTCGTGACCATTAAATCAGCTCTACCAGAACTGTTGAAAGGGACACTTTGAGTGGAAAATAGACCATGAGTAGGAGCAAGAGGAGCAGGAGACACAAAAGCAGTAAATTTAAGAATATCTATAAAAGTTGGTCAAGGGATTCATAAAATAAAAGGATATAAAATATGACACCGTATACCTAAAAACATAGAGGAGAGAGGAGTAAAGAATGAGTTCAAGGGGAAGGGAGGGAAAACTGAATGGGAAGAAATCAGAGAGGGAGACAAACCATGAGAGATTCTTGACTCCAGGAAACAAACTGAGGGTTGCCAGAGGGAGGGGTAGGGGGGATGGGATAACTGGGTGATGGGCATTAAGGAGAGCACGTGATCTGATGTGCACTGGGTGTTATATACAACTAAGGAATCATTGAACACTACATCAAAAACTAATGATGTACTTATATATTGGCTAATTGAATTTAAATTTAAAAAAAAAGAATGGGTTCAACCTTAAGCAACTGTCAATATATTCTTTTTTTTATCAACTTAATATATTCCTAAGATGTTAGATACAAACCTCATGATAACCAAAAATTAAAAACCAGTAATAGATATGCAAAAAATAAAGAGAAAGGACTCCAAATACGTCATTAAAGAAAGCCAGCCAACTGTGAGAGAAGAGAGCAAGAAAAGAAAGGAACAGAGAACTACAAAAACAACCATAAAACAAGTAACAAAATGGCAATAAGTGCATTCCTATCAGTAATTACTTTGAATGTAAATGGACTAAATGCTCCAATCAAAAGATGTAGCATGACACAATGAATAAAAAAGCAAGACCCAGGGGTACCTGGGTGGCTCAGTCAGTTAAGCATCTGCCTTCAGCCCAGGTCATGATCCCAGAATCCTGGGTTCAAGCCTCACATCAGGCTCCCTGCTCAGTGGGAGCCTGCTTCTCCCTCTCCTCCCCACTTGTGCTCTCTCTCACTATCTCTGTCACTATCTGTTTCTCTCTCTCTCTCAAATAAATTAAAAAAATTTTTAAAAAAAAAAAAAGCAAGACTCATCTATATGCTGCCTATAAGAGACTCATTTCAGACTTAAAGACACATGTACATTGAAAGTAAAGGGATGGAAAAGCATTTATCATGCAAATGGAGGTGAAAAGAAAGCTGGGATAGCAATACTTACATCAGACAAAATAGACTTTAAAGCAAAGACTGTAACAAGAGACAAAGAAGGACACAATATAATCCTAAAGGGAACAATTGAAAGAACAAGAAAATATAAAAATTGTAAATATTGCACCCAATATGGGAACTGTCCAATTTTCCGAACACCAATGGGGTTGTTGAAAAGAGACTATCTTTTTACATTGCATATTCTTGCCTCTTTTATCATAGGTTAATTGACCATATAATTGTGGGTTTATTTCTGAGCTCTCTATTCTGTTCCATTGATCTATGTGTTTATTTTTGTGCCAGTATCATACTGTTTTGATTACTACAGCTTTGTAGAATATCTTGAAATCTGGGATTGTGATACCTCCCATTTTCTTCCTCTTTTCCAAGATTGCTTTGACTATTCAGGGTCTTTTGTGGTTCCATACAAATTTTAAGATTGTTCTATTTCTTATTACTTATTCCTTACCAGTTTGGATGCCTTTGTTTTCTTTTGCTTGTCTGATTGCTGTGGCTCAGACTTCCAGTACTATGTTGAGTAAAAGTGGTGAGAATGAACATCATTGTCTTGTTACTGATCTTAGGAGAAAAGTTCTCAGTTTTCCACCATTGAGTATGATGTTACCTGTAGGTTTTTCAAATATGGCCTTTATTATGTAACATGAGTGGGAAAAAATCCCTTCTGATATTCTATGTTGGCCTAGAAAAAGAGAGAAGCTCTCCCCTGTTCCTATTTTCCATTAAATCATCTGGTATCTTCTCAGAGGGATATGTTTGACTAATTCCAGTGTTCATTCTTGTGCTTTTTAATTAGAAGTTAATTTTGTATTACACACTTTAATTCCAGTTGCAAACTTCTTTATAAAATGAGTATTCTTACCCATAGGACAAGTAAAGGAAAAATAACATGCTGTTTTTATAAGTGTATTTTATAACATTGGTGTTTGTTATAGCAAATTCATAGAATTAATGTGATAGATTAAAAGGTTGTATCACTTATTAATATAGTAATATTCATTGATTTTCTTAATGTAGACATAAATCATATTAATATATTAATTTATGTGTGTATATACACACACATAAATTGCTTGATAATAGAATCCATATTTCTTTGCTTGTTTATGTGGCCCAAAGCATAAATGAGATCTACACTTTTTTATTTTAATTTAATGATGCTTAGTAATATGTAAGTCATTTTACAATATACCATGTACATTATAGAAACTGTCTCTAGAAAATACAAATTATGGAAAAATGCAGCCTTTCTGTGTATACAATATGCAATAAATGGTAGTGACTTTTAATATCAAATAGTGGGTAATAAAGAAGTAATACCACTTACAAACATTTAACATTTTAACACGTTTTGCTGATTGCTCAAGGTGTCTGGTATGTTCTAGTTGGTGTTTTTCAAAACCATTTTTTTCATGTCCATTCTGTGATGGGTAGCTTTTGTGTGTGTGTGTGTGTGTGTGTTTTTAATTTTTTATTGTTATGTTAATCACCATACATTACATCATTCATTTTAGATGTAGTGTTTCATGATTCATTGTTTGTGCATAACACCCAGTGCTCCATGCAGAACGTGCCCTCTTCAGTACCCATCACCAGGCTAACCTATCCTCCCACCCCCCTAAAACCATTTTTTTTATAACATGTCATTCTAGATCCTTGTGGGCTTTTCATTTTATATAGCAGCTTAAATTCACGCACTAACACATGTATGAAATATTTTGAAATAAATTATAATTTTAGGTTCCAATTTCACTGTCTCTTTGTTCCTCCAGGTGGCTTTTACAGTACTTTTTGATTTGGAAGCACTTCTGAAGATATGGTGTTTGGGATTTACTGGATATATTAGCTCATCTCTCCACAAATTTGAACTACTACTCGTGATTGGAACTACTCTTCATGTATATCCAGATCTTTATCATTCTCAGTTCACATACTTTCAGGTAATATGAAGAATGTCTATTTGTCTGTAGAATTCTTTTCTTTCCAGAGAAAATACCAGTCACATTATAACAACCATACAGAATTATATTAAATAGTTATATATAATTATTATATAATAAACACAACCTTGAGGTAAGCCCAGTGACATCTTCAATACCAAAAACAGTGCACTCATAAATTATAACATTGTTTTTCAAACTTCTGAAAATGCACAGTAATAAATGGAGATGTTTTAGATGAAATTTTCTCCTTAGATGAAAAAAAAATGCATTCCAACTTCACTAATTTTATTTATTGGTGATTCCAAAGCTGTTATTTTCAGAGCAATTTTAACTTCGGGTGCCAAATTACAACTTGAAACTCTATACTTCTGATACCTCAGGAAGGGACATGAAAACATAATTCACAAAAATGATAACAAATATCCTGCAACCATGGGTGAAAAGCTGAGCCTCTAGTAATCACTGCCAAAAGTACTGAAATCACAGAGGATATCATGGTTCAATCTTTCAGTATATCAACATCTTTGGACATAAATCCCTTGTCATTTGTTGGGTTATATCCTTAGGCTTGGTTATCATAAGTGAGGTGACCGAGCAAGAGATATACATATGTTTAAAACTCTTGATATGAAATGTACTTCCCAATCATGCCATTATATGCTCTTGGGTGCTGCTGTCTAGATTTACAAAATCAACATGAGCATTTAGTACCTACGTTTGAGAATCATTGTACATAATTATAGAAAATATGCCTGATAATCAAAACAACAAGATATCTTTAACAAACCTATTAAGTCAACCAAACTAAGAAAAATATTGATACCTATTTCAGCAAGGATACATATACAAAATATATTCAGGGCTTTAAAATTCCTCTAGTTTCTCACAGATAATTTTTTAGTGAAAAGTTAGAAATACATTAAAATTTTGAATGCAAATATATTTATTTTGGAATTGTTTATGAGAAAAAAATGGGACTTTTAAAATGGTAAACATTTGAGGAATAGCTTAGGAAGTCATATGCAAATTTGACCATAAAATAATGACTGTCATGAATTTGTGATTATTTAGAGATATGATTCATTATCTCTAGTTTTTTTCTACTTGTCTATTTTTCACGAAGTATCTAAAATTAGTATGCATGGTTCTAATCATTTTTTATAGATAGAGACATAGTTGAATAATATGCTGTCAATGAAGTTTGCAACTTCCAGTGTTGTCTTTGATCCTGGATTATAACCTAAAATAATTTTATTTATGTTAATGGTTAAGTGATTTTCATTTGTATCTCTCTATACATGACCGTGTTTATATTTTTCTAATGAAATAATTAAACACTACCTCAGTTATTGTTTGGCTAAAATACAGATCTCTGCAGAAGTTCAAGTGAATTTTTGCAAATTCACATATAAGAGCCCACTGTCCTGAGCAGATTAGCTCTTCGTGGGCCCACTCTGGTCTCCCTTGTGGGTCCTTGCACTTCTCATCTGATTTGGCCTTACAGCAGCATGGCTTCCTTTAGTGAATTTCACATTTTCATATTGAAGTGAAGTCAACAGTTTAGTACAAAATGACTCCCTTTATAGCATCAGTTATCTCTGAGAGCAATTATTGGTGTTATTCGTCTGTTTATTCAAGTTGATATTTACTGAGCACCTACTATGTGCCAGGCACAGTTCCAGATACTGAGGACAGAGTTGAACGAGCAGGGAGAATTCCCACCTCAGTAAGCTTACATTCTAGATGGCAGACAGTTCACAAACAAGTACACATGAGAATGTGGAATAAAGTGCTGGAAATACTATAAAGGAGAAACAAGGGTAAGAAGGATAGAGGTTGGGGTAAGGGGTGGGGGTGAGGTCTATTTTAGATAAGTTGCTCATGGCAGCCCTTTCTGGAGAAGTCGCTAACGAGCAGAGACTAAGTGAAGTGAAGGGGCAAGCCAAGGGAACCTCATGGCACCTTCCTGAGGTGAAAACATGTTTGATGTGTTCAGAGAATAGCCTGAAGGCCAGTGTGGCTGGACTGGAATGAGCATAGGGCCCCATTGTGCTGTAGGAAGAAATAAAGTTTCACAAAATGCTCTGGCTCTGACATACCCGGGTAATAATGATGACATTGGTGGGTATTTATTGTGCATTTACCATGTGCCAGGCACTGTGCCGAGTGCCTTGTGCTGTTTAGTACTCACCACAGTCCTGTGAGACAGAGTATACAATGCAAGCTGAGCTCCCAAGACATTTGATAACTTGCCCAAGACCACATAACTAGCAAGTGGTGGAAACTCATGACTAAGAAGTTTAATTTCGTAGTCTATATTCTTAGCCATGCAATTTCTAAAGTATCTCACTTGTAACGAACAGAGTGATCTTGAAGAGACAGACTTAGAAATATGACCAGGAAAGTGAGCTTTGGAAGTAGCCACAAAATGTTCTACAGTGCTTATCTTTGAGAGTATGGCTTACTTTATTCCATATCTGTAGGAACACAAAATCAAAAGGCTTTATTGGATAAACAGAGTGAAAAGGATATTTATCCCCAAATAAATGAAAAAGCATAATTAGAATCATTGATAAGGATTTTGCCTTTCCAGGGATACAGGCTTACCCCTTTGAAAATGCTGATCAAATCGGCCGTGTAGGAGTCGTGTTATGTTCTGTTTCTTCCAGCTAATGAAATATTAATTTATCAAAATTGCACAGATGTGCAGAGGCTGTTTTATTAGAATTTGGGATAGGACTCAAAATTACTTAGACAATCTTTTAAGTATGATTTTAACACAAGTGGAGAAAACCCACTGTTTTGAAAGCTGAGCTATAAAGCCAGTTAAATTGTTCCTGTAAACTTGCCTGGACTCAGCTGTTAACAATTAGATACTGAATCATTTATGTCTGGGAATAACAAATCTGATAAGAATGTGAACACTTTCCATATTATTATTCTGGATATTAATATGAATGTTAATATTTTAATAGCTCTTATGATAAGGCTATTCACTTGTCATTTGGAAAGATGGCCTGAGTGTAGTATGTTCTGATTTGGAAACATACGTAAATTCTAACAGGAAGACTGGTAGCTTAACCATGTATGTAGCACAATGCTCATTTGGAACAACATGATTTTTCACATAAATTTTCTTTTTTCAGTATTGGGTGAAGGAATTAAAATTAACGACAAGGAAATACACATTTTCTCAGCTTCTTTAAACGTTTGTCTTTTAGTTTCCCATTCACATGGCTACATTTGTATTCTGTAGACAGTAGGAATGATAAGGTTCACCATCAATACTTCCTGTTAATTCAGATTCTAGGGGAGTAAATGTGGCTTCAGGTAGGCATGATGCAGAGGCTGAAATGGTATCAAAGGGACTCAGTCTATATGTTCACTCCCCTTTCTTCTCTGTCAGTATTATTAAGCTGGCTTTCTCCATCTAGTGGCAAATCTGGCTCCCAGGAGCTCAAGGCTTCGGTGGTGCTTACAGTAATGCCAACTGGAGATAAAAAATGCCACATCTTACAGGTCCAACAAAAGTTCCGAGGATGACTCAGGTCATTGTGAATATTCCCTCCAGGCCTGGATTGTGGACATCACGGAGTCCCTTTTGGACCTGGTGGACCAAGAGTGGAGCAGGAATAATTTGCCAAAGGAACATCAGGAACAGTAGGAAGCTAGGGATGCTGGAAAAATCCAAACATATATATGTGTAAAAATTAAAATCTAGTTTAAAGCACTTCCTGTTCTTTACTATACGAAAATAGACTATTCATTTTTCTTTTCCTAAGAAGACTTCACAGACACCTAAAGCTCTTATCAAACCGGCTTAGACACCATATATTATTATATTTATACTCACCATATTTTATTTATGCCCAGACCACAGTTTTCCTGTTTCCTATCTCTAAGTCTGTGATCTGCCTTACAATCAGTGGGCATACTTTAATTGGAAGCACTTTTTCTTCTCAGAGGCACATAAAAAAAATGTTAACATCTTAGACTTAATTAAAAAATTCTATTTTTCAGGGCGCCTGGGTGGCTTAGTTGTTAAGCATCTGCCTTCAGCTCAGGTCATGATCCCAGAGTCCTGGGATCGAGCCCCTCCTTGAGCCCTGCATCGGGCTCCCTGCTCCACAGGAAGCCTGCTTCTCCCCCTCTCACTCCCCCTGCTTGTGTTCCCTCTCTCGCTGTGTCTCTGTCAAATAAGTAAATTAAATCTTAAAAAAAAATTTTAAAAATTCTATTTTTTCCATGCTTTATGCTTCAACTTTGGATTATATACTAATTTATACTTTTAATCTTATAAATATGCCCTTAAGAGCTATGCTCTATAAAAAAATTTTTTTAAGCTATGCCTTTGTATTATACTGCCTTTGCGATTACAGACATTGAACCTTATTTGTGCAACACAGTGTTTGACACATAATAACCAGTATTTGTTAAAGTGAATGAGCAAATGAATTTATTAATTGATAAGCAGCTATGGGGGGTGCATTTCTATACTTGCAAAACATCTAAACATGTGTAGGTGTGTTTAGATGACAAGCTAAGCAGATATAACAAGGATCAAAAGTACAAGTCTTACATAAGACAGAAGTGTGTTTCTCTCCAGTAGTTGGTGGGTGTCCAGGAAAAGTCAGTGGCTCTGCTCCACACAGTCATGCAGGAAGCCAGCTGTTGAGGTGGACCAAATCTCTCAGCCTCTACACAAGGCTTCTATTTCTGGTCCAAAGGGACTACTCCATTTGTTTCTATTTCCCTGCCAGAGGAAGGCATAAAGAGTATCCAAGGCAAGTTGATTTACTTTAATGGGCGAAAAGTTGCAAATATTACTTCCTTTCATATTCCATCAGTCTGAACCTAGTCCCCTGGCCACACCTCACTACAAGTGGGACTGGAAAATGTGGTCTAAAGTCCTGGCTAGCCACTTGCTAGGCTAAAATTCTGATAGTTCTGTTATTTAAAGGGAGGGTAGAATGGATATTAGGGAATCAGTCTCAGACATAAGTGAAGACTCCTTGTTAATAGACTTTTTAAAAAATGTCTTATATACAGTGATACGTAAGAAGCTTTATTCTATGAGACAATATAGCTAATACTGAGCTAAACATTTTCTTCTACATTTGAACATTAGAAAAAAATCACTTTAATTTCAACAACATGTATTACTTAATGGCATTTTGAATTATCACATCACATGTCAAAAAGCTTCAGTTTTCCTACATTCATTTGGGATTTATTGAGTTCTGGCTCAAGGCAGGCACTGAGCTAGACTGAGATCTTAGTTATGGTATTGTTACTTTTTGTCTGTAGCTGCTCAAATGGAAAAGTGCGATTTTTATGAAGTACTGTGAAAAATGAGGTTTTAGTGTGAACTTATTTAAGATTCAGTGTAAAAAAGTGATCAAGTACATATGTTTTTCTCTCCCACAACAGGTTCTTCGGGTAGTTCGACTTATTAAGATTTCACCAGCATTAGAAGACTTTGTGTACAAGATATTTGGTCCTGGAAAAAAGCTTGGGAGTTTGGTTGTATTTACTGCCAGCCTCTTGATTGTTATGTCAGCAATTAGTCTGCAGATGTTCTGCTTTGTTGAAGAACTGGACAGGTTTACAACGTTTCCAAGGGTAAGAATAAAAAATGCAGCCAATTTAATTCCTTCTTCCTATTTTAGTAATAATGGTTAACATCAAAATAGTTTCCCTTTAAGAGTGGTTCAAAAATATAGCCATATTTTTGATAACTTAGAATAATTCAGTTTTGATATTTAAAATGGTCTCTTCTGCAGGGTGCAGGCATTTGAGCACATTTTCAGTATTGTGAGATTATACATCAATTCTAAAATTCTGGAAATAGTCTAATAGAATGAGATGCTGAAACCAGTCAAGATGAAAGCTAGGGTTCTCAGCACCTATAGATGAAAATATAATAGAATTTTTAAATAAAGTTTTTGTGTCTGTGAGAGTTATCATTTTAAAATCTGTTTTATAATTCATATATTTTTATGACAAGCATAATCTAGAAGGGGGTTTTGATTTTCAATGTAATAAAATTCATAAACTCTTCAGATTTTAAATGTCTTTAGAAGATTATCTAGTTCATGCCTCTGCATTATCATTAGAATTCACTTAAGCTATGAACGAAGTTAAAAATCAATCAATTCATAAACAGAACTCATGTAGAAAATATAGCTCTAATCAAGGATTCTGAAATTTAACTCCATGTGGATTTAGAAACATGAAAAAAATATAATAACCAAGACAAAAAAATATATATTCTTTCACCATAAGCTGAAATAACAAGGCCTATTATATGGGAAGGATAATCTTGGAGTAACAGCAGGATGTAATACATTTTTTAAAATAAGCTTTGAGGACAAAGGTGTCTGTACTCAAACTGGTAGACTAATAAAGCCTGATTATTTTTTTTTTTTGTAATCTTGTGCTAAATTTGTTACACATCACCAAGCATTTGTTGAGTGAGTATAAACAGCCAGGCAATTTTGGTGATCTTAGGACAGAAACACAACTACGTCCCTAGTTTTCAAGAAATTCTCAGTTGAAGGGGGTGCCCCGTAAGTAAACATGAAGCATGATAAAGGCAGGCTCAAGGTGCTCTGGGAACCCAGAGGTAAGGTCTGTAACCAGGAATGGAAAAGTCCAAGAAGGCTTCTTGAAGGAGGCAGTTACTAAAGAACAGTCGTAGGTAGCCAAGTATCCCAGGTTTGGGGAACAGCATATGCAAAAGGTCTGAGGTGAGCCATTCTTGTTCCAGAACTTAAAGGAGAAAGAAAGGTCAATGTGAGAGGAGGACATAAGACCAAGGAAGTTTTAAGTTGGATGAAAGTGTGATTGTGTTTAAATGCTGTTGAGAGAGCGAGGGCGAGGTTGAAGATGTATGAGACAGAGGACAGTAGCAAAATGTTCCCGGAGGGAGCATCCAGAGCACGGGCACAAAGACTGGTCTCAGTAGGTGTTGACTTGTCCTGTGTCCAGGTGGTGATATAGGACAGTGAGCCAAACTGAAAGTCACAGTGAGTCTTTGTTCACTTACTGCCACAGTGCAAGCAACAGGCAGAAATAAGCACCGGCTCCCAGCATTCCGTGTTCCCCACTGAACAGCACTGGGTGAGTGTCAGGTGGGAAAGCACGGATGTGGCAGGAAGAATAGAGAAAGATGCCTCAGTTGAGGCCCCTGATGATGCACCCTCAGAATAGAAGCACCTGAGCTAGGAATATGGCTGTGCATAAAAGCATGGCGGCCTAGAGTGGGGGGCGTGCCGAGTTTCTACCTCCAACTCCCTCCAGAGGCCTCCCCCATGAGCCTGTCAGGCAGAGCCTCCCCAGTACCTGTGGTCAGGCCACGGGGGCTGTGGTTGGCCCGGAGCCAGACTCTTCAACAAGAGGCTCAGCTCTTCCTGCAGGGCTGGGTGGGCAGATGTAGGCAGAGATGACAGTGATATCATTAAGCCCACCTTCTCTTAGTCTGCCCCCTCATGGGGGAAATGAAAATGGCAGAATGCCACTTTGAGAATGACACTGTCATTATCACAGCCCATCTCTGAGGCCGGGTTAATTCAGCACATAGTATTGAAGGCCCACTAAGGGTCAGCCATTGTTCTAGCAACAGGGGATCCTAAAAAGAAAACCACCCTCAGTCCGCTTCTTTATGAATACAGTCTTCTCTTAATTTCAAATCTTATCTTCATCTTTTACCATCTCTGCTAATCTCACATCACTGATTTTATATCTCTTCCCCAAAACCTCTTTGAGCCGGACGGCTTTTGGAGTTCATAATATTCCAGATATTATAAGGGTGATATTGCCCCCTTGTTGATCTGAATTGTTTGAATCAGCACATTGTAATCAACACACTAATGCTTCTTTAGCAAAACATCTTTGGACAAAGAAGGATAAATAAGGACAATAAATAAATCTTAGGTCAGATTGGATTTCTGCCACTAAATGAGCTACCAAAAAAAAAAAGAAGGACATATTTTAGGTATTTTCAAGAATTTTGGAATAGTGAAGTTGTGAGTCAGGGCCGTGGCATGCATAGGAAGGCATTGCGGATAGTCTGCACTTCTTGTCTTAGAGATCTGATTTCTTATTACCCCTCCAGCACTTTTTTTAAAAAGATTTTATTTATTTATTTGAAAGAGAGAGACACAGCGAGAGAGGGAACACAAGCAGGGCGAGTGGGAGAGGGAGAAGCAGGCTTCCCGTGGAGCAGGGAGCCTGATGCGGCGCTCGATCCCAGGACCCTGGGATCATGACCTGAGCTGAAGGCAGACGCTTAATGACTGAGCCACCCAGGTGCCCCACCCCTCCAGCACTTTTTGGCTGTATGACACCGGCCAAATTATTCTTGTAGCTTTTATTTTTTCACATCTAAAATCCGGGTAAAAATAGTATTTTCCTCATAGCATTGTGTGTATTGAATCATATACAAAAACAGCCCCACTCTGGGCTTAGAAAGCATTTTTCAAATGTTGTATTCTATGTAATATATTTGAAGTCGGTATTTTAGATTCTGTATGAAGGACCAGGCTGCTTCAGAGCCATCCGACTTAGCACCATCGGATTTGCTCTATTTTTCCAGCCATAATAGTAATCAAGTAGCATTACGTTTTCAGGTCTCCAGTTACTCAATTGTGCCTTTCTGCCTGATTACTTTGACCATCTTAATGAAAGCAGCCCGGCGACTATGGGGCCCCCTAATCAGTGATTCTGCAGCTGACAGGGTTGACAGCCTAAATGTGTGAAATGACTAGTAGATTTTTCCTTGCCCATGAACATAATTATGAGTTAAATCCCTGAAAAATAATCAAATTTTGCAAGAAATGTTAAAAAACAGTGCAGCTACAAAAAGTAGTCATTATCATTCCCAGTCACATAAAGCACCAACCGTTGGTGCTACTTCCCTGATAGGAAATCAGAAGAGATGGTCAAAACACATGACTGTCGATGTTAGATTTCTGTTAGGACACTTGTCTATGGGTCTTACCCCTTCCCTTCTTCTAGGACATCTCCTTCATTATACAGTGGTTGGGTATTGAGGTGGGTTGGTTAATTACAGTATTAGCCAGAGTGCACAACACACCATTGGTGGGAGCCAGCCTCCAAGATGGCCCGGACTCAAGTAAAGATGATAGAAACAAGTGCTGATTCATCTAGTTCCCATTTTACTTTGGGATGCATCATGTGATCTTTCTTACACATACTTAGACCTATGGGGTACAGGAGAGTCAACTGTGTACACACTTGAGAGATGCTGGGAGAACACCCGCCATGAAGAAAGGAGTCTAGCAAAGGTGGGTCCAGCCCGACTTGGCAAAACAGCCTCAGTCTTTGTGCCCAGGGAAGAATTTTCCTGTGGCTCTTTCTTACACCAGATCCTGAGCCAGCCATCTAGGTGGCATATTCTCCCTAGAGAAATAGGACTGGATATAAAACCACTGTTTAATTGGACTTGATTGCATCTTGGGCCCAGCTACCCTCTGTGAAACCCTCTAGGAGAACCTGACATGGACATGTGGAGATGATTTCCCCACCCACTTTCCAAGAAGAGAAGCTCAGAGGGGCAGAGGAAACAGCAGTATGGACACACTAAGTGCCTGCCCAAGTGCCTGCCCACTGCTTGACCCTCTGACGGAGCTCCAGCCACACTGGAAGTCCCCAGCTACTTCCTGGAATACTTGAAGGTGAAGAGGTCCTAAAAACTTGCATTATTCCACAAGTTCCCTAATGGGTCTCCCTGCCTCAGTCAGCTGCTCTTCAATCATTCTCCATTTGCAGCAGAAATTAAACACCCTCCTGTTTAAAACGTTTCAAGGTCCTCCTTTCCCTCAAGATAACAAACATTTTAATATGGTTTCTGTGTCTTTTTGTCTCCATCCCCAGTTACCTCGCTGGGCTCATATTTCAGGATTTCCCCTACCACATCTTTCAAAGGCAGAGAGGGCATCTGTCTTGCTCAGTAAATCCCCCCATGCTTAGCACAACACTTGCTAGTGAATAGGCTTTCATTGATGAATGAATAACAATGCTAGACCAAAGCAAATTTCTCCGATCCTTCCACACTATCAAATTCAACATCCCAGAGTCTTTCTTCCACTGCTGTCCCTTCCTCAAGGAACCACTTTACCCTCCATCACCCTAACCCTTATCCCATCTGAAATCTTTGCATAATTCTGTCAGAGTACTTTGGCAGGAAGTAGCAGAAATCTTGCCTCCCACTGACTTGAACAATTGGGAAATTTCTCACAAAATTCGAGATTAGGTAGATTAGGCAGAAAACCAAGATTCTGAATCTTTCACTGAAATGGCCTCAATTGTGGGTTGAATTATGTGCCCCAAAAAGAAATGATGAAGTACTCCGAAATGACCTTATTTGGAAATAGAGGTGATAAAATTCAAATGAGGTCATGAGGGCGGGCCCTGACCCAGTATGACTGATAGTTTCTAAAGAGAGGAGATTTGGACACAAACACAGACATACACAGAGGGGGGACGATATGAAGACACACGAGAAGGCAGCCATGTGATTGGGGTTTCATCTACCCACCAAGGACCTCCCAGGTTTGCTGGCAATCATCTGAAGCTAGAAGAGGCTGGGAGAATCTTTC